TTGCAATAATCCTCAATATGCTTCGTTTACATTCAACGAGCAAGAGGGGAGCACTGCCTTAGTTAATTTAACTCCCACAAATTCCCATCTCTGCTGGGGAGAGATTGTGCTTCCTCATAGATGAAGCAGCTTCTTCATATTTCAAAAGGTTAGAGATTAGATCTGCTTACTGCTATACTTTTATTAAAATTCCTGTTTACATTTTTTTTCCCCCACATTGATACAATTACAGAAAAGGCAGAAAGAAAACATTTGAGCCAGAGCAATCCCTGAAGGCTGGAATATCCCTCGGCCTGTACATCCATGGATGTGGCAGGGGAGAGCCCTGCTTGCTCTCCCTGCAGATGGGCCTGTCCTCAGCCTTCCTTCTCCTCCTTCTCCTCCTGCTGCTGCCCCACGTGCTGAGGGCTCAGAAGTAGCACAAAACCTGACCACAAGGACTGACTGAATTCTTCAGGCCTGCAGCAAGAGGGAAGTTGAACAAGAAGGCTCCAGGGTGACTTTATTGTGGCCTTTCAACACCTGGAGCATACCAGGAGAGCTGGAGAGGGACTTTGGACAAGGGATGGAGGGACAGGACACGGGGAATGGCTCCCAGTGCCAGAGGGCAGGAATAGATGGGATATTGGGCAGGAATTGTTCCCTGCAGGGTGGGCAGGCCCTGGCACAGGGTGCCCAGAGCAGCTGTGGCTGCCCCTGGATCCCTGGCAGTGCCCAAGGCCAGGCTGGACATTGGGGCTGGAGCACCTGGGCCAGGGGAAGGGGTGCCACCATGGCAGGGGTGGCACTGGGTGGTTTTAACCCAAACCCATCTGGGATTCAGTGATTCGATGACTGAGGAGCAGCAACAGCTTCAGGTCCCTGCTCCAGGGTCCTTGGTGACCCCTGGGCAGTGGCCTCAGCCCCGAGCACGCTGGCCAGGCACAGGAGTGCAGGGCTGGCCCAGAGCCATGGCTGGGAATTCACTCCCTGGGGAGGGAGGACTCTGCCTGGGACACCTCACTCAGGGCAGGAGGAAGGAACAACACCTTTAATGGACTCAGGGGGAGAGATTTAGCTCAGGAGATCTGTAATTACCCGTGCTGGAGGCTGGCCAGGACTCCAGGTTTAACACTCCTGCTTGGGTAAATCTTGTGGATCTTGAGCAGGAAATCACAGAAGAAGCCCCTGTTCTCCTTTGGAGGGTTTCAGAGACAATTTGGCTTCTCAGAAAAGGGGTCAAGATGTCTTCTCAGTGCTCCTGGCTTTTATCAGCAACAAAGAAGCCCTTTGCTGTCTGTGAGGGGAAGATCTGAGTTCTTGGGAGTAGCACAAGCCTTCCAAGGCATTTTGATGTTTCCTAAACAAAGTGGGAGGAGGTGGATCTGTGGGAGCTTTGCCTGTCTCACCAGCATCACCCCAGCTGGTAGCACAGATTTCTCCCAGAGAAAGTTCTCTGGGAGTGGAGAGGGGAGAAAATGGTGCTGAAAGTGCAGCTGTGTGGAAGTTTCTGTAAACCAGGAATGCTGGGTGGAAGTCAGAGGAGCTTTGTTGAGGACTGCAAAAATCAGGGGGTGATGACTGCCAAAAATCACAGGAAATATTCAGATTAGGAATGGAGAAGGTTTAGAGTGGATGTTGGGAAGAAATTGTTCCCTGTGAGGATGGGGAGGCCCTGGCACAGAGAAGCTCCCATGGCTGTGAACTTCCATGGCTGCCCCATCTGGAGAAGTGTCCAAATGCCAGGTTGGAGCAACCTGGGGTGGTGGAAATGCCCATGGTAAGGGGTGGGATGAGATTGAGATGAGATTGAGATGAGATAGATGAGATTGAGATGAGATTGAGATGAGATTGATGAGATTGAGATGAGATTGAGATGAGATGAGATGAGATGAGATGAGATGAGATGAGATGAGATGAGATGAGGCGAGGCGAGGCGAGGCTCCAACTGATGTTCAGTAGGAAGGTTCCTACTGTCAGAGAGAAGTGAGATACCACCCCTGACTGTCCAAGAGAAGCTCAGGTTTCTCCCCCCACTTCTTAACCCCAGGACCAAGGGAATCCATCAGGAGAAAAGTGGGTGCTTGGCACAGAAATTTTCCGAGGTGTCCTGAGGTTTGCAAAGGCAGCAGGAAAACAAACCCACCTAAGCATGGCAGGTTTATTGAGCCCTGTGTTGGTGGGGAACTCGTTGCCACAAGAAAATAGACAGGTTCTTCAGACAAATCCACCCCCAGGGCTCTCACACTAATGCAGCTCCTGGCTGAGGAGGTCTCTGAAGCTCAGCCCGCCTGGAGCCCGCAGGCACACGAGGAGCTGTGGATCCCCGCTTTCCTCCTTCTCTTTCCCTAAGAAACACAGCTGGATTATGTAGAAAATTCCCAGGATTTTGTTGGGCCCAGGGCTCTCCCCAGTGCCAGGGGTTTTGTGCTCCAGAGGCAGGAGAGACACATCCAGGGGTTCCTTTCCTCCTGTGACACAAAGGGACATGGAGGTTTTGAAAGGGGCAGGAACCACCTGAGATCCATGCTAGGACCCCCTTCCCCAAGGAGCTGGAGCTCTCCCCCCTGTAGATCTTCACCCAGGGGTCCCTTTTTGCCGGAGCTCGGTGGCTCTGTGCTCAGCCCCTGTGCCCTGCTCGCCCTGCCCTCCCTGCCACACTCCAGGCAGCAAACACCTCCTGCACCAAGTCCTTTGGAGGATTTCCCTGGCTCAGGAGTGCTCCTCAGTGACAGCAGACAGGGGCTGGGGACAGGAGCCCATCAGACAAACCCTGGCCCAGTTGAGCCCAGCTTTGCACCTCAGGTGTCAGTGCCTGACAATTCCAGGCCTCACAGACCCCAGGACAGAGCAGCTAAAAGGTTTCTTCACCCCCAGGCCTGACCATTTGTTTCCACTCTGTCGCCTGTAGGAATAAAAGCTTTGACCTGTGCTGACAAATCCTTCTTCAGGGAGAGAGCAGAACTCCTGAGCTGTGCTGAGGGACACTGCCCACTCCTCGAGTTTTCAGCAAGCAGAGCGAGACTGTTGGCAAATGTTATAAAACACAAAAGCTATTGGAGTAAATCTTTGCTGTGATGGAGTGATCAACTGTGGGATGAGTTCCAGGGACAAAATGCCATCAGCACAGGCAATGTGTTTCTGCTCTTCTCGGAAGAGCAAGCACGAAGCTCCCTTCCCACCCCCAAAAATAACCAGCTGGATTTTTCAGGATGCACAAGCAATAGGTCTTTTCTAGCTTTAGTAACAGCAGGATAATGATGGTCTCCAGATCTTCGTTTTTCTCCAGAAAAACCACCAAAATCACAGATGTTTAAAGTCCTGCCCTCAACTGCCAGGACACTCTTTCTCCTCCACCCTTTCCCCACCAACCCCAGCGTCATTCCCTGCTCTCCTGCAAAAATTTCCAGGGATTCTCTGGGGTGCAGCAGAGCCAGTAATTTGATCTATGAATCTCATCTGCCATCAGCTGTGTGCCAGCAGCTCGTCCCCAGCGGTGTCACAGCTGCTGCCCCTCTGCAGGGACACATGGAGAGGGGCAGGTGGGTGGGAGCACATCCCTGCTGCTGCTCCTGCTGCATTCCCAGCAAAATTCCTGCTCCCAGCTCTGCTGCTGCAGCCCAGACAGGTTTGGGTGGGGGGAGAGAGCACAGGGGAGACAATGTAGAGGGACAGAGCCCTCTTTTACCACTGGGAGCTGTCTCTGCTCTGCTTCCAGCTGTGGATCCTCTGGGGAAACCTCCCCAGGAACGCTGTCCACACGTGGCTGCTGCTGCTGCTGCTACTGCTGGACAAGGCTGAGGTTGCAGTGAGCGAGGAGTTGCAGTAGGATGCAGGAGTTCCATCAGGGCAGAATTCAGCTGAGGAAAAGCCAGAGCAGGTCTGCCCTAGGTCTCCCACAAATCTCTCCTGGAAGTGGCTCCAAATCCTGCCACCGGCAGCTGCTCCCTTCTCCCGGAAGGAAGGAGTGTCCTGGGAAGGCTGGAAAGCAGCAGCACGCTCCAGTAACACCAGAATGTTGCTGGAATAACCTGAGCACAGCAGGCTGAGAGCTGGGGAACACCTGGAGCAGGGATCTGCAGACACAGATTGGTAAATCCAGCTCTGGTTGAGCGCAGTAAAAAACATCTTCATCTCGCAGGAACCGCGTCCAGCCTGTGCATCCTGAGAGGCTGGGAGAGCTGGGAATGGCCAGCCTGGAGAGCTCAGAGCCCCTGCCAGGGTCTGGAGAGGCTGCAGGGAAATGGGAGAGGGAACTGCAATGGCAGGACAAGGGGGGGTGGGTTCAGACTAAAAGAGAGGATATTTAAGTCGGATATTGGGAAGAAATTCCTCCCTGGCAGGGTGGGCAGGCACAGGGTGCCCAGAGCAGCTGTGGCTGCCCCTGGATCCCTGGCAGTGCCCAAGGCCAGGCTGGACATTGGGGCTGGAGCAGCCTGGGATGGTGGAAGGTGTTCCTGCCATGGCAGGGGAGCTGGAATTAAATGAGTTTTAAGGTCCTTCCAACCCCAACCACTCTGGAATTCTGTGATCCCCACCCACCCGGGGGAGGGTCAGGCTGTGAGCAGGAGCCCCTGCACAGCCCTGGGACAGGGGACTTGTGTCCCTCTTCTCTGGTCTCTCCAGATGCAGAGCCAAAACTCGGGATTCTCTGCCCTGTGGGATTTGCTCCTCACTGAGCTCCCTGGGTTTGTGATGCCCTGCAGAGCCGCCAGCTCGGTCGGTTTAACCCTCTCAGTGCCACCAGGCAGTCACTGCTCCTCCCTCCTGGAGCCCGGAGTGTCCCAGCCAGTGCCACCCATCAGCTGCACTCAGAGCTCTCTGCCTGGGACATTCCGGCCCCGGGAGCCAGGAATCTCCAGGACGGTGACGGTGGCTGGGCTCCTGTGGAAGCTCGGCAGGTGGGCACAGGGAAGGTCCCCTCGTGCCCAGGGACAAGGCGAGGTCCCCAGCAGCTCCCCCATCCCCGGCCCCCATGGTCAGCCCTCGCTATTCAGCCATTAATTAATTAGTCCTTGCAGTTATTATTTACTCATCAGCCCTTTATTAGTCACACACAGCCTCGTCCCCTGGACTCTTGCTTTGTTCTTGGGTGAGATTAGATCAGCCTGTTTGTTGCCGTGTTTACACAAGTGCTGTAATCCCAAGCGCCTCCCTTCTGTGTTTAATGAAGGTATTTACTCGAAATCCTTTGCCCGGATTTTCTCCTACAGCTGAGGGATAAGAAGGGTTTGGAGCACGGTTATTCCATTCCAATCGTTTGTATTAATTGATATTTTAGATCAAATGGAGGAGACTTAACTGCCCTAAGTGGTTGTTACCTCCGAGTCAGTGGCTTCTCTCGGAGGAATGAAATTCTCTTACAGACGCTGACAGGGATGTTTTGAGTTCAAAGAACAAATCCTCAGTGCAGCCACAACAAGGAGCACGATGGAGATGGGAATGAGCCGTTCCACCCCTGCCACAGCCTGGAGATGGGAATGAGCCATCCCACCTTGGAATAACCCCCCAGGCTGTTGTTGCCAGCACTGGGAAGCATCGAGAAAAGCTGCTGCCACCGGCCAGTGCTGCTTCCTCTGGCCCTGGGGGACACCCCTGGGAGCACCCCCAGCCCTGTGGGGAACACCAGCTCTCCCCAGCTCTCAGCAGCTGTGCCAGGGTCTCTGTCCCCAGGTGAGGATGTTGTGTCACAGTCCGGGAGTCCTCGGCACTCCTGGGAAATGGAACAGAAGCTGAACCACACTCAGTAAAAAAAGCTGCACTCCCCCTCCCTGCACCCCGCAGCTCCGGGCAGGTGTGAATAACTTGCTTTTGTCACTTGGAATAACGAGTGGACCCAGCCAAGTGACAAAGCCATTCCCAGGCCAGCCTCGAGCCAAGAGCAGGATTCCATGTGCTGATGAGTAAATGCCTGCACTAAGAATAGCTCCTTCCAGCCTTGCTGCTCACCCACCTTATCCTGCTCCAATTACCTGCCTTAATTTACTCCAGCTGTTCCTCCAGAGCTCCATGATCTATTTTCTACCCCCTCCTGGTTCCTGCTTGATTTCCCTGTATATTTTAACATTCCCCATTCGTTTCTGTCTGGAAGTGCCTCTCCTGACAGGAAGGCTGCTTCCAGCGTCGCTGCATTCCCGGTCCTTCGCTCTCCCATCCGCTCTCAGCAGGCTCTGCAGCACATCCAGCTGCTGGCAGCACGCTGGATCCCTGCAGAACGCAGGAAGCACTTGTTCCTGAATGAAACTTCTTGTCCTGACCCATTCCTGTCTCTCTCAGCAGACAGGTTTGAGGAGGAAAAGCGCAGTCTGAATTCCTGGTGCTCCGCTGGAAACCTGGCTCAGCTGTTATTTCCCAGAGGGAAATTCCTGCTCTCCCAGTCCTGTCTGGGTGGGAATCGTTGTTCCCAGAGCTGGGCCACGGCACTGTGGCTGTCACTTGGAGGGGCAGGGCCAGCCAACGGTGCTGTTCCCTAATTTCCTCTTTGGAGAGGGAAAAAATGGTGATGGGGACAGATTTTGGTACAGCCAGAGCTGCAAAGCTGCTCTGCTCCGTGGATGAATCCCAGCATGGATCTGATCTTCCTTCTGCCTCCACAAGACTTTCACTGCTGGGCTCGGGAGCAGGAGGAAGTAAAACAATGCAGATTCCAGATGGGAGAGGCTGAGAGCAGGGTGGGAGCACTGGGTGGGATTGGGATGGGAT